ACCCTAAACCCTAAACCCTAAACCCTAAACCCTAAACCCTAAACCCTAAACCCCAAACCCCTAAACCCCAAAACCCCAAACCCCAAACCCCTAACCCCTAAACCCTAACCTCTAAACCCTAAACCCTAACACCTAAACCCAAACCCCAAACCCTAAACCCTAAACCCTAAAATTCTAAACCCTTTATTTTTTCCTTTCTTTTTCTTTTGGTTATTGATTTTCTTTTCCTTTTTTGACTATTTTTTTATTTTTTAATTTGTTTAATTGTCCTGTCTTGACGTTTTTTTTATCGTTTGGTCGATTTTTATTTTTTTTCCTTCTTTTTTTGCATTTTAATATTTGCTTTATTTTTCTTTTGTTTTTTAATTGCTTTTATTTTTTGTTTTTTATTTTTTAATGTTTTTTGCTTTATTTCTTTTTTAACTTTTTTCTTAAACTTTCTTTCGTTTTAATGTTTTTTTTTTTTTTTTTTTGGCTTTTCTTTTCTTTTCTTGAATTTTTGAGTTTTTTTATTTTGGTTTTTTTCTACTTCTTTATTTTTCCTTTCTTTTTCTTTTGGTTTTTTAGTTTCTTTTTCTTTTGTTATTCGCTTTTTTTAATTACCATTTCTTGAGTTTTTCTTCTTGTTTGATTGATTTTAAGTTTTTTTTTTTGTTATTGTGTTTTCTTTTTCTTTTTTTCTTTTTTTCATCGTCAATTTTTATTTTTTTCTCGCTTTTTGCTTTATTTCTTTTTTACTTTTTTTGCATCTTTCTTTCATTTTTTTGGGAATTGTTTTATTTTCTTTTTTTTTTTTTTGGTTTTTAATTTTTTTGCTTGTTTGCTTTTTATTTTTTATTTTTTTTTTTTTGTTTTTCTTTTACTTCTTTTTTTCTCCTTTTGTTCTACCTTTTTTTATTTTTAATTATCGTTTCTTGAGCTTTTTTTCTTGTTTGTTTGATTTCTATGTTCTTTTTAAGTTTTTTTTTTGTTTTGATTCTTTATTTTTTAATTTTTATTGTCTGTTTTTTTTAGCATTTTAATATTTCCTTTGTTTTTCTTTTTTTTTCTACGGTTTGGTTTTTTTATTTTTTGTTTTGATCATTTGTTTTTTGCATTTTTTTTTCTTAGTTTTTTGCTTTTATTTTTTGTTTTTTGATACTTTTTGCTTTTTTTCCCTTTTAATTTTTTGGCATCTTTCTTTCCTTTTTTTGAGGAATTGTTTTATTTTCTTTTCTTTTGTTTCGTTCTTAAGTTTTTTTGCTTGTTTGCTTTTTTTTTTTTACTTTTTTAATTTTTTTTGGTTTTCTTAGTTTTTCTTTTACTTCTTTATTTTTTCCTTTTTTTTTCTTTTTTTATTTTTAATTATCGTTTCTTGAGTGTTTTTCTTGTTTGGTCGATTTTTAAGTTTGTTTTTTTAATTCAACTTTTTATTTTCTATTTTCTATTTTTTCATTTTAATATTTACTTTGTTGTTTTTTTTTTTGGTCTTCGGTTTATTTTATTTTATTTTTTTTGTTTTGATTATTTTTTTCTTTTCATTTTTTTATTGAAATTTTTATTTTTTATGCTTCTTTCTTTATTTCTTTTTTAATTTTTTTTGCATATTTCTTTCGTTTTCTTAGGAATTGTTTTATTTTCTTTTTTTATTTTTTATTTTTTTGCGTTTTTTTTTCCTTTTACTTCTTTATTTTTCCTTTCTTTTTCTTTTAGTTTTTTATTTTCAATTTCTTTTGTTTTCCTTTATTTTTTGGTTTATTTTTATATTTTTCTTTTTATGTTTTTTTTTGTTGTTTTATTTTTTATTTTTTATTATTTTGCATTTTTACATTTGCTTTGTTTTTCTTTTCTTGTTTTTCTTCGGTTTTTTTTTATTTTTTTTCATTATATGTTTTTTATATTGTGGGTTTTTTTTTCTACTGTTAGCTTTTTGGCTTCTTGTTTTTCTTTTTTCGATTTTGTGTGTAATGTTTTTTTTTATTTATTTTTTTATTTTTTAATTATGTTAATGTTATTCACTATTTTTTGATTTTTTCTTTGGCTTTTTGCTTTTTTTCTTTTTTTTTCTTTCACAGTTTTTTTGCTTTCTGGTTTTTTTATTTTTCAATTTTCTTTTCTTCTATTTTTTTTCCTTTTTTAATTTTTTTATTTTTTTTCTTTTCTGCTTTATTTTTTTTCTATGTTTTTTTTTTCGCTTAATCTTTTCTTTTTTGATTTTTTCTTTGTTCTGGTATTTTTATTTTTATGTTCGGTTTTTTTAATTGTTTTTTTTATTCTTTTCTATTTCTTTTTTTTTTTTTTGCTTTTTTCTTTTCCATATTTCTTTTTCATTTTATTTTTTTTATTCCCGTCTTTTTAGGTTTTTTTTCCTTCATTTTTGTTTCTTTATTTTTTTATTTTTTATCCAAACCGAAATCCAAGTCCAAAAACCCCTAAACTCTAAACAAAAATATTAATTCATTCTAATAAATACATACAAATAAATTTATGCAAATTAATATTTGAGTGAGATGGGTATGACATGCGGCGTCAATTCTTCGATAGATGCGAGGTGTTGAAGACCCTTGTAGTTGAGAGATTTTAGATACCAAGATAACTGATTTCAAGACGAAAAAGAATGGAGTGATTGCAAATCCCAATGCAAGTGGCCTGCGTTGATTTGTTGCAATCGGTGACGCGAAAGTGATTTTAATTTGGAGAGCAAACCCCCTTTTTGGAGGGAATTCCTAATGCATTCTCTCTGGAAGGGACTTCAATTTTCTGCAATCCAATAACCAAACAATTTCGAGAGCAATCGTAGATTGACAACGAATGAAGGGATGTAAAATCACCAAGAGGTCCCGCGCCCAAAATAAGTGATTCTACATCTTTACAACTCCAGATGCTAAGCTTCTCTAACTTGGGAAACAACTCAACCTGCAAGCACTAAAGTAATTCACATTTACTTATTTTAATTTCTTGTCAAAAAGTCGACATACAAGGAACACTCATTTGCTCCATTCCCTTTGATAAGGAATCTCTATTAACTTCAAGATGCAACTTTCCAGTAGACAATACCCATGCACTTGTACGACTCATGAAACAATAAATGTCAAAGAAATACAAAATAAGTGAGATTGGGAGCCACTGAATTTTAAAACGAAAAGTTTTGGGCATTATTACCTGCGATGCAAGGAGTAGCTGTCAGTTTTCTTTTTCCTTACAAAACCTTGCTTTCTTCTCCCTAATACCTGCAGATTGTTAGAATGGATAAAACCGATTAGCATAAAAATAAACCCAAAATAACAGTTCTTTATGCAAGCCCAGGAAATGCGACGTACGTGGCAACATGCACAGTGAACTTTCCCTGTCCAAAATCATTCAAAGTTCTCTACCTTTGATGCTGAGATATACCTCCATGCAATGTCGCGGAAGCTATGCTGTGTATCAATGCCATAGAGACTTCATCACCATCTCGTTTGGTCTGACTGAAAATAATATTCTCCTCGCCCTTTGCATAGACCTAAATATAATGGCGAAGTTCTCTGTACTTTAGGAACAATAGTTATCTCTCATTCTGACATCACTTGGACCAGTAATGAATTACATTATCACGACAGTAATTCATAATGACCGAAACAATAATGCATTCAATAGTAAAAAAATGACTAACAATCTAAATATGTTATTATACAAGACAAAAGCTAGGAGTCTATTTAAGAAGTCCTTACATCGTTTGAAAAATAACTCGCACCACATCCACCTCGCTTGTCTTCCACGTCAAGGGAACGATTGGAGTCGCCTAATGTACGTCATCACCCAGATTTCGACACATTTCTTTGGTTTGGTTAAAATGTAAGTACACTAAACATCCAAAAAAACTTTATGAATTTAAGATGCATGACGCTGTTTAATTATGAGAGCTAGAAGGGAGAGAAAGAAGCATGAAGTGAGGCGAAGGAGAACCTGGAGCTGGAGGTAGAGAAGAAGCTGTAGTTGGTAAAGAGATCAAAGTTATTGAACATCAAAAGAGAGCTCTGCAATTAGAATTGAAAATAACAAGTAATAGAAAATGAAGATGGTGACCAAGTTGGTCATAGACCAGATCGAATAAGGAGATAAGTAGGGCATGTATGAATAAGAGATATGAAGTGTTTTTTTAATGGTAAAAGAGAGGAGACAGATGGATGTTTATTTGAATTTGGAATTCAGGAGAAGAAGGTTCGTGGGCGGGATATTTGGGCGGGATAGTTGGGACTTGGGTGGATGTAGATGTGACGGCATGAAGTGAAGGCATGCAGTTGTCTACCTCGACGATGGCAATGTAGCGCTGGCAAACACTCTACTGTAAGGGATCAGGCACGCAAGGTATCTAAATGAATTTGAAATATCATTTACTTCATTTTCACACGTGTAGACACTTCCATGCTTAATAGACCCACCCATACTGAAAAAGTTATAGGCCAGCCATTGTAGATGATGACTAGGTTACCGCTCTCTGAACCCACTGTGCCTTGTGGGGTGGGTGGTGAGGTGGTGCTTATCCATCCGACCCTCTTTTATTACGGAGGATGACTAACTTAGTTACAGTTTATAAAATGCTAAGGGTGTCTTTAAGACACTTAACTCATCGTTAAATACTACGTAATAGACCAATTGAATTTCAAAATTTTCATCTGAACACTTTCCCGAGGTAGTAATCATAATGTTTTATTACTATAGATGAATTTTAATTTCTGAATTACATTCTTATAATATTTCAAAAAATTTAATAACATTTATTTTTACTCATAAAAAAGTAATGCCATTCATTAAGTCAGAATTCAACAAATAAAACCATATAATTTATTGGGTTTATAATGCAATATTTTTTGGATCTGTCGTATTTGTTTGATTGTTATAATATTTAAATACTAATAATAACTATAAATAAATAATATCTTAACGATTTCTTTCAATCTATCAAACCCCGCAACATATTATTATGTAATATTTTTTCCACTTTTATTTCCGTTGCTTCACTTTGCAAATTCAAACCATTAGCACATTTAACCATAGTGTCAAGCCGATTGTGTCATGCATGATCAAGTCTCAAGCTAGCCAACCAATTTTCAACGTATAAAAATCGAGCCTCCTTTTATGTCGTGCAAGTGGCAATGATGTTTCCTACTGGCGGTCATGCCAAGCACGTTCCACCATCATTGGAAAAATACAAAGTTTTCTTGTACAAGTTATGAAAATTAATTCCTCACAGGTTCATCCTATAAAAAATAAAAAGTAAAAAAATCAACGGAGTTAGAATTATTTTAACAATTATAATAACCCATGCATAAAGGTATTATGGGCGAAATAATTGACCAATGATGTTTAATTAATTTTTTAAAAGATGAATTAATCATCCTGCTTCTTATAAATTAATTGGGCAGTCCTATTTGTTTTACAAACAACTTATTTAGCTTTTATATTTTAAAATTTTCTTATAATTTAATTATTTTTATTTTTTATTTTATTTTAATTTTTTATTTTAAGAAAGTAGAATAAATAAAATTATGTTAATATATATATACTAAAATGGGTCATTTATGATCGAATAAAGGATAAGGTTTAACTTCTTATTTTTGTAATTTGCTTATTCTATTTTTTTTATTTTAAACATTTTTATTTGGTTAATTTTTGAATTTATTTGTTTACAGTATAAGAGGATGTCAAGGGTTTACATCATTTTATTATTATTAAAAAAAATACTATTATGCATTACTTTGTGACCATCTGAATTAAAAACAAATTGAATCAAGCAATTCGTATAAAACTTAAAAAGACAGTCAACAGGGTAATTTATCTTTATTTTAAAGTCTAAGTTAAACGGCTAAAATTACTAATTCTGAGGGCGGAAGCGTCGCTTAGGTAAGGATTCCACACCCTTATGGCCCTAAATGCTGAATTTTTAAAGTGATTGTAATTTGAAGGGGTGACAAGACTCAATTTCTGCACAAAAAGATATACTCAAACCGTCAAGGAAGAAGGGAATGCATGCTCCCAAGCAATGACTGCAACCTTGAGCAATGATTTCTACGCCGCCCAAATCCTGTGTAAACACACGTTGCCATCTTTTCCTACCAAACATACTTTTTTCTTGAGTTCTGTGTCACGATTTATTGGTTTGCTGAAATAATAAAAAGGCTCCTTGACGAGAACTAGTAAAATATCTTCAATAATGCTTAGATATGCGTGTCTGTTGGCCATTTCTTTTTCAACATTCATGCAGATCAGTATTTTCATATGTTTTATATCCTGACAAGATTTTCTTTTTATAGGTATTATTCTTGACTAGGTATTTTCATATTTTTTTATCCATGACAAGTTTTTTTTTTTTTTCGATAGGGATTATCCTTTGACCATAACTTAGTAAGATAGCTTCAGTACTGCTTAAGAATGCGTTTCTTATGGCCACTTCTTTTTCAACGTTCATACAACTAGTATTTTTACATGTTTTGTATCCCTAACAAGTTTTTCTGTTCTTTTTCCTTTTTTTTATTTTGCATAGGGATTATCCTTTACTACAACTTATTAAGATAACGTCAGTAATGCTTAAGTATGCATGTTTCATGGTGCATATATATATATATATATATATATATATATATATATATATATATATATATTTTTTTTTTTTTTTTTTTTTTTTTTCGTCGTGTGCATGTGTGTACTGTAGTAAAACAATACCCATGAAAAATAACGAGGGCTAAAATACAAAATCTTTCCCCTTGTTTGGATAGAGAGAAAAGTGGGGGAGAGGAAAGAAATGTTTTCCTCCGTTTGGTTAGGAGAGGAAAGCAATGGAAAGAAAAAAATAATAAAAAAACGTATTTTAAGTGGGACTCATTTTCCTCCCAAAATTGGGAGGAAATGGAAGGGAAAACGTGGTACTTCATTCTTTTTTTTGTGATCACGTTTTTGCCCTCTACCTCCGAGTCGTCCCTCTCCTTTGTAAACCGCTGCGAAACGAAACAAATCTGCAAATCAACACGAGTTTTCCTTCTTCACTCTTCTTGTTCTCCTCTTCTTTTTCGTCTTCTACTCTGCTTCTTCTTTGTTTTTTTTTCTTTTTTTTAATATTTAATAGTTTCTCCTTCTACTTGTATTTCGTTTCTATTTTCTTCTTCAAACTCTCTCTCTCTTATATATATATATATATCAAATCGCTTTGTGAACCATTGAATTTCAATTTGATAGCAACAGAGAGTAATTTACTCAAATCGACCAACAATACCTTGTTCCTTGGCTCGCCCCAATCTCATTTCCAAGGTTAGTACTTCATTTATCTCGTTGTCGCTTGAATCGATTCCTTCCAAGTATTTCAATTTTCCGTTTCGTTTCGAGAGAAATAAACTTGAAATTTGTTTGAAGCGACCAAAACCCACTTGTTAATTTGTGTTGAGGATGGGAAGGTAAACTAAAAACTTTTGGAATATCGTTTGTGATTGTTGTAGAACTTGGCTATGGACATCAACAAAGAAAACTATGAATTGGGTCTCCCGGTGATTCGGAAAGTTCGGTGTTGCACACAAGATTGATTTCAAGGAAGGCCATGCTCGCCAGTTCTTGATCAAATGATTGAAGATGTAAGAAATATTCTATGCTTGACAAAAAAATAAAAATGGAAAAAGGAAAAACTTCCTTGTTTGATTACTTGTCCGAGAAAAAGAAATATTGCTCGTTTTTTCAATTTGAGATATTAAAATGTTACTAAGCTTACTATTCTACGTAGGAAACGACAGGGCAAATACCATGGGACTTTTGACTTCATCTTTGTGCACCACTCGATGCACCAATGAGGAAGTATGTGAGATACTTACAGGGACTTTGTTTTGGAGCCAAATAAGCGTTTCGGCTGAGCTTTTTGATAAATTTCATGGTGAAATTTGAAGAATTGAGTTTTGTACTAATACTACATGTTTTTTAAGATTAAATAGATTTTCTTAAATAAAAATGCAATGTATTTTTAAATTTATCGCCTGTCAAAATAATTAAATAATTTTATTTGCAAAAACAAGGAAGATTTAAAATACTCCCAAACCGAACTTCACAACAACCCAAAAAAAACCCCAAAAAAGATAATAATACATGTTATACATATTTAAATTAATTTTATATTGATAATTAATCTAAATTGGCTATTGGATTAATTAATTAATAAACGATTATCGATTATTCTATGGAGACGATTCATTATCTTTCTTATCATTTCGGATATATGCTACATGCTAGATTTTTATTTTATTATTATTTGTGTTATTTTCATGAAAAAAATATTCATACAAATTTATTATAAGTATTTAAATATAGAAATATAATCACAAGGGTATTATAGTAAATATACAATCATACATTTTCTTTCCTTCCTCTTCCAAACAAAGGAAATATATTTTCTTTCCTTTTCTTTCCACTCTTATCCAAACAACAAGTGAAAAATGATTTTCTTTCCTCCCTCTTTTCTTTTCTCTCACTTTCTTTCCTCTCTTTTCTTTCCTCCCAAGAGGAATTATCCAAACATAGGGTTTATGTTAGGTTTTCAACTTTATTAACCAATACCCATTATACATGTGCTTGGTTGAAAACAAAATTACAATAATTTCAATTAGGAATATAAGTCTTATATTGAGTAAATTATAAATTAGTCTTTTTATTTTTCAAAATAATTTTTTTTAAAAGAACTATTTATTTAATTTTTTTATTTTATGCTTTTTTTAAATTTCTTTTGTTTTCAACAAAAAGGTAAAATTAAAATAGAAAAGTGAAATA